ACAGCAAAATCTCTCTATACATTATTTTTTCCTTAAAAAAAAAAAAAAAAACAAAAAACCATAACTACCACATATCAAAAATCAAAATTCTAGAGCAGAAAAAACCACCCAAAAATTGCAATGAAATACGAGTATGCTACCCCCACCTCCCAGAAAAAAAGTCCACCCACACAATGCAGTTTTCCGTTGTCCAGTCCAAAAAACACACACCTGTGAAACCACCCACCCCGATCCATGCAGACTGTACATAAGTTAACGGTTCTCTTCCAGAGCAGAGCTGGACTTTTACTCCTCGTCCTCCTCCTTCTGCTACTTAATCCTTTGCTATGCCGCACACTCACGCACAGCCCACGCATTGACACACAGCAACACACACACACGCACACACACACACACTGCGCCACGACACATGTACATAGATACATAGATATATGTATGTATGTCTCTGTTTTGTATGCTGTATGTACCTTTTAATCGTTGCACAACACTTTTTGCATGAAACTGCCACTTGGGGGGTTTTAGCTGTGAATGGGGGGAAATGTGATTTGTGCGTCAATCTCATTGATTGCTTATTTTGAGTTTAGTTGGATATATATACTACCCTATACATATATAGTATGTACATGCTTTCACTCAGGTGCATCCATGATGTGTGGTTTCTAAAATAAACCCCTGAAGGAGGCAACGCATGCCACATACGTACATTGTGCGTGTCTCTCTACTCGTATATTGTGACAATTGAAGCGACAACGCACTTGAATCAGTTTTCCAATTAAAACATACGTCAAGAATCCCCCACTCCAACCCATCCCACCCACACCCACACCCCACAATAATGCCCTCAATCACACAGCCTTGTTGGACCTGTATGTGTCCACCCATTACCCCCATTCTTGGATTTGTTTTTCTTGCCCCCCGACTTATTCCTGCACTTTCATGTCGTGCGTCTTTTGATTAATTTGGAAAAACATTCAAGGGTCCCTTGTAGCGTGTGCCGCCGGCTACAGAAAGTAAGAAATTTTCGACCTCAAAAATATGGCCACTCCGCCTCCATCCACACCTCGCACAACCGTTCCGCACACCACCCTTCAGCATGCCACGGCTATGACGGCAATAAAATAAAGAAAGCTTTAATTATATTTTCGGGCCAGCGTTTTGATTATTATTTATTTACACGACGACGACGCCATACGGCGGGGGGAAACTCTTTCTTTATGGGTTCTATTTTTGGGAGGCGAGCGACTATTTTCGTAGTCGCCACCGCCAACATGTCTCACGGTTTGTGTGTTGTGTTGATCTTCATGTCATGTGTGTGCTTTCGGTTTTCTCTTCCGCACTGCATGTCTCCCCATCAGTCCACCTACTCAGCGCACACCCCAGCCACCAATGCCCAGCCCCACTCTGTATCTCTCCCCCTCTATGTTTCCCCCTCACTCTCTGTGCTTTTGAGATTAAAGATACACTTGAGTGACCCTTGCTACCCTTGCTATCTTATCACAGATCGCGGTGGGAATGATAGCTCCGGGAATGAGGGAAATGCCGGATATACCGATGGCCAGAACTCGGATCCACAGAACAGTCCGCCACGTGACAAGGACTACATGCGGATGCAGCAACAGCTGACGCCCGTGAGCTCGGTGGCCACCAGCATGGGCAGTGCCGCCGGACTGGTGACGCCCGTCCAGACCGAGAAGCGTTCGCGTCTGTTTCGCACATCCAGCAATACGCCAGGTACAGCGGCAGTTGTGGGCAGCGGCGGTGGAGCGCCGAACAGCGCTCAGAGTGGCGGCAAGCGGAAGCACACGTTGAGTTTGAGTGCGGAGCCCAGGTCCGTGCTGGAGACATGTTTGTCGCCCACCAATGTGGAGCCGCGGAAGCTGCTGCTCGACCAGCTGAGCCGCGTATTTGCTGGCGAGGACAATGCCATACCCGAGGTGGTGACCATCATCAGTCCCCCCGAGGCCCTAGGGGGCAGCAGTCTGTTGGCCAAGTTGGTGACGCTCTTTGCCAACTCGTTCAAGCCGGCCTTTGTGCCGCAGAACACCGCCGAGGTGAAGGCCGTCTTGCAGGCGCTCATGGCCAAGATCCAGAAGTAGTAAGTGGATGCGTGCCACTCCGCACTTAAGCAAAGGCTAATCATCATCTCGCCTTTCTCTTGCAGCTGCAACTCGAATGCCAAGCCGCCACACACGGTCAAGGTGCTGCTCATTGGCGGCGACTGGCTGCAGGGGGCCACACTGCGGCATTATGTGGAGCTGATGGGCGTCCGTCCGCCCGACTGGCTAAACCATTTGCGCTTCTATCTGGTGCCCATCGGCGGCAGCTGCGGCAGCGTGGCCCGCCACCTCAGCCAGATGGATCAGGCATACGCCGCGATGTTCGGCTCCGAGAACTGGATGCAGTTGTGCGAGAGGGCGGCGGCCACAGCGGCGGCTGTGAGTGCGGTGACCACCGTGAATGCCACCGCTCTGACCGCCAATCTGGCGGATGCGGCCGGTGTGGCCAAGTCGGACATTGCCGAGCTGGTGCAGCGCATTCAGCGATATTTGCATGCGGCCGGACCCTGCACCCAGATACCCATTGCCGAGGCCATGGTCAACTACAAGGACGAGGACTCTTGCCAGATCTTTGTGCCGTTCGTTAGTGTAAGCAAAAAGCAGGCAGCATGAAGCATGAAGCCCTTGTTCCCAATCGTTGTTCATGTGTAACACTTTCGTTTCCTTTTTGCAGGACGTACGCATTGGCTATTTGGATGGTGCTCAGGCATCGCTGGATCTCGAAGAGAATGCTGCTGGCTCGAATGCAGCGCTTTCTGCGCTGAACTCTTCATCCGCGAGCAGTTCGGCCATACCCATTGGCAGCCAGAGCTCGCCGAATGTGCATGGCGCCGTATCGGGATCGCCGCCCCAGCAGCAGAGCATGGGTCGCATCTCACCGCCGCTGCAGACGCCACCGTCGTCGGCCTCGTCGCATCGGGAGCGCAACACCAGCGAGTCGCTGAGCACACCATCATCGCTGCAGCAGCAGTCATTCAGCGGTGCTTTGGCCGCCGTGGAGGCTGTGGAACTGCAGGTGGACTATTGGCCGCTGGTGCGGCCGGGCGAGACGCACGCAAAGGAATCGAAGGGCAGCACGTCGAAGGGCAGCGATGCTGGCGGTGGCAAGAATAGCATTAAGAGTACGTTTAGGAATCTGCAGGTGTGGCGTCTGCCACAGCATGCACAGCAATTGGGTGATATGTTCAATGGACTGACTGTTAGTTTCGCCACCAAGGAGAAGAAGCAGAAGCAAAGTAAGTATCCCAGAATGGATACTGGAATCGGAAAGGAACTCCCCATTCATTCATTCCATGCTTTGTTTCAGTTATGCGACTGGGCAAGAAGAAGGACAAGGAGCGTGATCTCGAGAAGGAACAGTGCGTCGAGGGCGTGGCACGCCTGATTTGCTCACCCAAGCAATCGCATCCAGTGCCACTGCGTGGTGAGTAATCAAATCCCCCTTATAAATATAAAGTTAATGATGATTTAATTCGAATTCCTTTTATATTCGTAGTGTATATCGATGGCACCGAGTGGACTGGCGTCAAGTTCTTCCAGGTCTCGTCACAGTGGCAGACGCACGTCAAGAACTTCCCCATAGCACTCATCGGGTGCACGCCCATGTCGTGTGCTGAATTATCCTAGTCATTTTAATCCTCAAGCGCGCTCACATGGTGGGATCCCCATCCCCCCCGTGAACCATAGAGAGACACTAAAACACACAGACACACTGATCCCGATCCCCCACATCCCTCGTGCATGGCGAGCACTTGCGCGGCAATAATTATTACATATTATTATACACTGAAGAAGAATGATAATTTATTTTATAATTAGAATTTGTAAATTTTTAGTTAATAAAACCATTTAGCATGTAAAATCTTCTTTAAGTTCATTTCTGCATACAAATTTGTGAATTCAAGCGATTCGTTTGATCCGACCCCCCCCAGTCACAGCAGCCACACATCACACAACACAGAAGCAGACAGAAGCAGGACATACCCACAGACACTCAATCTATTAACTAAATGAAAAGCTTCAAATGGCTTAATTATTGAAATCAACAACAAAATATGAACAACGCGTATCAAAATATCCTGTACAAGAACTAGAAGAAAACAAAAACGTAAAAACGTAAAAAAAAAAAACTTAAAAACTTAACTTTGTAGTTGCCGTTTCAAGAACTTCTATGAACCTCGTGTTGCTCTTGCCCGTTTGGCATGTTATAGCAGATAGCCTACCCTACCCCTCCCAATCATAAGCCGCTGGATGGGTAACCGTAACCGGAACCCTTTGGGAGATCTCACAATCTTTGCGCCCAAAGGCGGAACAACCACTGGCTATCAAGAAAAGTATCTAAATGTTATGCAGCCTACAACTACTTGACATATTTAACCAAACCCGTCGTCTATATACTACCTAAATCAGAAATATCTGTGTGTGAAATTATATACAATATATACATATATATATATACGAGTATATAGTATACCTATCTAACCAAGCATATACAAAAATCATGTGTGTACTACTCTTATTGTTGTGATTTTTTGAAATTTCAAATTGTATTAGCGAAAGTTAAACAAAGCATTAAATGTATATATGCATACATATATCTACATATATGTATGTATGCATGTGTGTGTGTGTGTACGAGTATACATCAGGCGCGACAGGAGACAGTGACAGTTTCGATATCATACATATATATATGTGTATATGTATATTATAGTATATTCTATGTACTCCCATATCCACCCCCCGCCCAGTAATCGCATTCGTATTCCCCCACCCATTCCCTTTGTGTAGTAGTTGAATGCTAAAAATCGTCTGCGTGTTTCCCACAATCCCCAACCCTGTTTGAACTGAAAGCTAGGAATCGCTTGCGATTGCGTTGAATAGAGTGCAGAATGCGTTGCGAAGTGAAATATTGTAAGGCGTGTAATTTATAAATGTACTATTAAATATATGTATTAAAGTTAAATCCGAAACGAACTCGAGTCTTTATTTAAATGGTGTAAAATGGTCAAATATCATCGGACATGTAGAATCTGTTGTGGCAGACCGTTGATGAGGATGGCGCGCTCCCTGAGGCCCAGGGAGCCTCCCAGGCCTCCTGGTGGCTGAAGGAAGGCGAGATCCGGGTAGCCCTTGGGCTGGGCAAACTCGCGCAGATTGGCGTTGCTCTCGCTGAGGTCGTCCAGGGGCCAGACTGCCAAATTACGAGTCTTTCCGTGACGTGCCAATACGTAAAACTGTGAAATAATATCAGATGAGAGCTTAATGGATATCAGACAGAGTTGCATCCACTCACCTTGTCGTGGGCATCCGCTAGGTAGCCCACAATTAGTGCCCAATGGGCACGGTGTCCGGACTTTAAGCAAGGCGCATGGTTGACATCAGCATCGTAACTTTTAATCATAGATACATTATATACAAGTGTTAAGGAGAAAACCAACAAAATATTTCAGCAGAAACTTCATTGAACGTACAATCTCAAGTGATTTTTATTATGAAATACAATTCGTATAAAATGCAGGTGATCTTAATTAACAGAATAGGACTCGCTAGCCCACCCTCATGGGTGGCGATACCAGGATGACGCCATCGCCACGCACAAACAGCATGGGAATGGTGCGTTTTGTGGTCTTGTAAACCTCCTCGTACGTTTCTTCGTCGATCTCCACGGTGGTGACGGTCTCCTCTGCGTCGCCCAGCACCATGTTCAGATGCTGATCGAAGGCCTAACGAGCAGAGGATTATTTTAAGCTTATGGCTATGGTTATTAGAATGTGGCAACTTACATGTAGACGCCCTCGCAGCTCCCGCTCGTTGCGCATCTTCACGTACACCTTTTCATCCAAGCTCAGGCGAATCAGATCCAGCGGTTCCTTCACCGGCAAAATTACCTGACTGAGCTGAAAGTACGCGAATGAGATATCCTTCACTGTCATTTGTCCCTGCTACATACCTGCTCCTCTTCGGTGGCCATTTTAATAACCAAATAACACTTTTTGTTAATAAATTAAGGTTAAACAGGAGAATATTTTGCAAAACTTGCTGTTTGCTGTTTACGATATTTTAGCACTAAAAAACACCACGGGGCATCTGCGTAGGTTGGCAGCACTGCGGCTGTTAACACAACAGCGCTGTTAACAGCGTAAAAACCAGTCACGAAATAAACAGGAACGACTTAAAATAGGGGATTTCTTTTGAAAAAAGGATACGGCACAAGCAAGCAGCCACCAGCTCGCAGGAGCTCTTTGACTTTGTCGCACTCGAGGCGACCCTCGTGCAGTTGACACGCACCATGTCCGTGTCCGTGGAGATGCTTGCGCGTAAGTTCGTATAAATATTGGGCACTGAACATTTCACCATTGATAGTGTACTCCTGCGCAATGGCATTTTGTAGAATTTCTGCTGCGGTGGGGTTTCCATTGAGCAGCATACTCAAGGCAGTCAAGCCGCATGTGGGTCCCACCTGAAACAGCACGTACCCAATCATTGTGGGAGGCATGGCATGAATGACATAGTTTTTCATTATTACTTTCATTACTTACTTGCAGTATACTGGGCACGGAATAGTACTGGCACCGCTTTGGTGGAGTATATTGGCACACACGGTTGAGGTAGCAACCAAGGTGGAGCTCTGGATATTCCCAGGCCCAGCCACATTCGTCCCCTGATATATTAATCACAGCCGGGGGATCCTTGGTCCTTGATCCTGCCACAGGTGCAGCAGCCTTAATACCTGACGGTAGTGGTGGTGGTGGCGGCGGGGCAGAGATATGTGGCATTGAAACGAAATAAATCAAAATATTCGTCTGGTCAACAGGTTAAAAGCATTCTAACAGTTCTATGTTATCACCACAGCTGTTTTTTCAATGGTGATGGCAACAGAAAAGAATGTTTCGATATATCAATTAAATTTCATTGATAGTTTCATTGATACCGATAACTCGTTTCATTATTTCATTGATAATTTCATTATTTTCATTGATAACGATAACTGCGTTTCATTATTTCATTGATAATTTCATGCTTTTTTCTTTGATAGAGTGAGGGCGGAGGGGCGGAGGGGCGGAGGAAATGCCCAACGCCACAGTCTGGCTATGATTGGGCTGAATTATATTCTGGCAGCCAACACAATGAAGCCTCTGCTCCACGTCTGGCCCTTTCTCCACATGAACACTGGCCGCATGCTGAGCACCCTCTCTGGATCTCACCTTCTCAGTTGCACCGCTGGACAATGGCAGCCAGGAGGGCAGTGAGGCTCCTACCTATACACAGTGTCCCTAGACCGCTGCTGCAACGTATATGACTTGAGCGGTGGCATCATGCTCCTCAGCATTGTGTTCCCAGTAGCACTGCACAGCGTGGTTGTCAATAGGATGGAGACTAGCATTTATGTTGGCTCCGCCGAAGGCAAGGCGTTTGTGTTTCACAATTGGCGAGCGCCACGGATGAAGGTGAGTGACTCCAATAAAAATGACATCATGGTTAATCATGGTTGTTTACAGGAATTCCACCTGGAGGAGGACGAGACTCAGGCCTTTTGGCGGTGAGGATAAGCAAGTCTGCGTTCGGGATGTTGCGAGTCGGCAGCTCATGAAGAGTATTCCCCAGAACGGGGTGATCACCAATTTGAGAATCCGTCTTCTCAGTCCCGGCATTTTCCAGCCGCAACACAAGCAGCCACAATTATTCGCAGACAGTCTGAAGCGTATGATCAGCCCTCCGGATCTCAATGATTACATTGAGTTGTTCGTCACCAAGGAGTACCCCAAAGAACGTGGCAGCTCGTAAATCTGTGCGACGATGACGATGCTATTGACTTTGACGAGGAGACGTTGGAGTTAACTGAACAATCTCCCAAAGTTGCAGATGTGCCTTCAGCGGACGTTGGCGAAGTTGATTGTGATAATATTGAAGAGGAAGACTATGAGGCCCATTCCAATGCCCCTGCATTACAGGAACTTATCGCCAAAACGAAAACGTCAAGGCTCCGCCGGAGAGAAATCGCCAGAAAGCTCGCAGGAGCTAGGCCTGTGCTCCACCCTTTTGTTTACTTAGATTAAAATTCGGTAATGTTATCAGTATCAATATCCGAGTCCATCTTTTTTTCCGTCTTATGTGAAGCCTAGTTCTCAAAGACTATAAGAGGTGGAGCAGCTGTATCTGACGCGTAAACTCCTGATATCACACTAAATCAAATAATAACAAAAAAAAAACTGCCCATCTAAAATATTGTATACAGAAAAAAACTAATGTCGACTGTTTTTTTCTGTTAGTCTATCCGACCGATCGGGTTCCAGGGGCTGCTTAAGTCGGAGGAGCAGCGGTTTCGACCTCAAATTAAAGATAATTTTAAAAAAGTAGCCACAAAATATCCACATAACTTCTTATTCAACGGCGAGTTCAATTTCAAGTTTGAGTTTTTAATAAGTACACAAAACAAACAAAAAAAACAAAAAAAACACAAAGGAAATTATCTAGGCGCCCTGTCATCATCGGCATTCTCCTGATCACCAGATTTGGCCTTCTGCTCCGCGAGCTGTCGGCGGATCTCGTTATCAATGATTTGCATTGCCCCGAGTCGCTGGACATTGTGGGATCGTGGTTGTTCTTGGGCGACATATGCTAAATACAATTTAAGTAAAGAAATCGGTTATCTATTGTTTTTAAATATATTTATTTTTGTATTCGTCTTTATCGATCTCGTCAAAGATTTCAGGGAGCCCCTGCGACCAAATTCGAGTCACAGACATTGGCGACACAGGTGTGGTTGGGGAGCCTGGGAACAGCTTCCTGTTTACATTTTTTTTAAACGCTGCCGCGGTGCACTTATTTTTATAGCGAATATATATTTTTCCTCGCCGATCAGTCCTGTAATCTGATTCCTCTTCTCCGGGAAATAGGTTCAGAAGCTGACTCTCAAAATCACGACATTCCTTGAGGGTGAGCTTCTGCTCCCTTTGGATGAAATGGTCGGCGATGGTGTTAATCGCCGTCTTCCTCATCGCCGGTGTTAGTGGCTCTGGCTGCCACGCACGCAGCAGCAATGATCTGGCCCCGGCCGTCTTAAAAATTTTCAGCACGGTCATGGTCTCCTCCTCCTGCTCCTGCCGGATGGACCCACCGGTGAACGCGCTGTATCGAGGGGAGGGGGTCCCCTGTATAACACCAAAGATACTGCTGCACGCGTAGGATGGTGTCCTGGCCTCTATTGGTCGAAACACTGGGGGCGTTGTTTTCGGTACGCCAGCCCGTTTGGGAGTTTCGTCGCGAGGGGGAGCTGCAGCTGACGATTCCCTGGTTAATAGAACTGCCGGTGTTCTTGATTCCATCGGGGATGCCGGGGATGCCGGTGATGCCGGTTCTTCGCTTGCCGGTGTTGTTGGTTCTGGTTTCCACATGGCTGGGGGTGTGGGTGGGACGCTCCTGATAGACTCCACTTCAACTTTTTTCCCATTTAATTTAACTATGCCGGCGTCTTGTTGGGTGCTCGGCTTGAGTCCTTCAGAAAATTTAAGGGCAAAGTCCAGTGCCTTCTCATCCGTCTCGAATGGCAATGTGTACTTAACGATGCTGCCTTTGCGGGTCACTTCGATCTCCAATCTGTGAAAATTTTAAGTGTTATTTTAAAATTATTCCGCTAAAATTTTCAACAACTTACTTCTTCATGGTTCAATTTGAGTTTTAAAAATGGTGCCTTGGAGTGCCGTTGTTTCTGCCATTTCCCTTTCTTGTCCAATTCTTTCATGCCATGCCACAGACCGTCGCTCCGAAGACGAAGCAGCACAAAAAGGATTGCGCAATTTTCCTTTCGTCGCAAGTTCGATCTGGGAGCGGCACAATGGGCAAAACGGGCAACTTCGAAAGTACAGGGCGACTGTAGGTTTTTAACAGCTATATTGACCGTTTTTCCCACTGTGTCACTGTTTGCCGCGTAACGCGATTTGAACACATGCAACACTCTGCGAGTGGATTCTGAGCGTTGTGTTTTTACTCGTGATTTATATTTTGGTGAAATTTAAAAAAAATGAATCTGGAAGAAGTATTCACATGCCACCCACTATTGGCTGGAAGAAGAGACGACGTGCTCAAGGCCATAAAATACGTGGAGCGGGAGTCCCACATAATGGAATTGGACTCCGGGGTTATCAATATGGTGTCGAACTTGATCTATTTTAAGGATCAGCCATTTCTATTGATATTCGACGAGTATCATTTTACCCACATTCCCAACGTAAGCTTTATTATCTTATTTTCCCGTCTGTCCGTCTGTCTGGCTACAAGTCTCGTAGGAATGACCATATCTACCAGATTGCCGAATCTGAATCAGATCGGGTTATTATTTAATTTTTATTTATTTTTTAACTTAATAACACTAGTCAACACTAGAATTAGGCTGTGGCCCAAAATATAGTTTTTTAAAAAATTAAAAAAAATTACACCATAATATATATGTATGTATATATATACTTTCAGGTTCATTTCAAACGTTGGAAGGCGTTGGCAATTGCTGCGGTAAAGGTGGATGGTACAAGCCTAAAATATTTGTACATCCGCGTTATGTCCACCGACGCACACATTCTGGGCGCCGAAGAAATCAAGGCTGGACTTGCCGTTGTTGTTAACTCAATTTTCAACCTCGGCTTGGCCCACAATGTGTGCGCGGTTATATCGGATAGATGCAAGGCTAATTTGCTCCCGTTGCAGTATTTGGCCAATTTTTTCCCGCTCCTCTGGGACAAGGTCCACTTGCGGCAAAAAATGGCCAATAAATACCGCAACGTGGACACAACTCTAGAGAATATGTATGCAGCGACATATAAGCAGCAGACTTGGGAGCAACAGCTCGACGCAATGGACATCACCCCGCCGCCAGCAAGCTTAAAATCTTGCTACGACGAGCAAATTGGAAACCTAAGGAAGCTGTTGCGAACATACTTTAGTCTGTCGACAGCCCCCATAACTTTGGAAAAAGTAAATAGCTCAGATTTTGAGTTTAGGGGGGTTGTCCTCCGAGCAAATGTGGGTGATGTGCTCGAATTTATTTTCTTGTCACACGCAGCTGATTTTCACGATGAAAGATTGGCAACAAAACTTTTCGCCCGCGTTGTTGGAATCCTGATATCAATTTTTAATCATTAGTTTTACTTTTTATTTAATTAATTTCCATTTTACATTAAATTAATCAAAACCCAATAATCACATTTTAAATTTATCAAATAAAAAGCCCTTAGGCCTTGAAGTTATCTTTCTCCTTGCGCAACTTGCCCATGGTTATAATGGGATCGGTTGCTCCTCCGGCATGCTTCTGAACAGAAGCTTCGTGGACACGCATAAACGGATTCCAGATCTTCTCCTCGCCAATGGTGGAGGGCACTGTGGGATCCTGAGATGCACGTCGCAGCTTGGCCCACTCAATGCGTTGCTGTATACTCTCGTTATCGGGCTCCACATGGCGGGCAAAGCTCATGTTCTGCAGTGTGTATTCGTGGCCACAAAAGACCTTCGTGGTGTCCGGCAGGGCCGATAGCTTAGTGCACAGAGCCTCGTACATCTCCTCGGGTGTGCCCTCGAAGAAGCGGCCACAGCCTCCCTGGAAGAGAGTGTCGCCAGTGAAGACAGCTCCCTCGCCGTTCCCATCGCCGGCGGTGACATGATAGCAAATGTGCCCGGTGGTGTGGCAAGGAGTGGACAGGCAACGTACGTTGAGACTGCCAATGGTAAAGCTGTCATCTTGGCGAACCTTTTTGTTCAACGCGCCGATACGATCGTCGCCGCCATACACCTCCAACTCCTTCTCCCACAACTTGACGAGCTTCTCATTGCCCCCGGCATGATCCCAGTGATGATGGGTGGTCAGCACCTTATTGAGCGTCACATTCTCCTCTTGGACGGTCTTGATGACCAGTTCGGGATCCACAGGATCCACCACAGCTGCCTCGCGCGTCTTATTGTCCACAATCAAGTACATGTAGTTGTCCTGCAGAGCCGGCAGGATTTTCACCTGCATGCCCTCCAGATTAACGTCCTCAGACCAACTTTACGCAGTTTCTGAACTGAAACGAGACACAGAATGGGTTATAGCTCATGGCGGGGATACAGCAATCAGCGGTGCAACAAGCAAACATTCCGAGCACACTCTCTGCACACTGAGTGCATCCGGGGGAACGGTGGGAACTTGTCCATTGTAAAAATTAGATGCCACCTGTCGATTTTTTTTACGATGATGATTTTATGATTCCTATATCTTCAAATATTGCGGATGACATGACTTGGATAGCCAAGTGATTCTGATCAAGCTTCCTTCTGTCTGTTGCATACATCTACACGAATATAGTATATAACAATAAAGTAAAACAATTAATTTGTAGCTTATTGGTGTACTTGTTTATTAATGATTTTTCCTTTTTTATTGTGTAAAGTAAACCGAAAAGAAACGCATAAAAACGGAAATTAATCAGTGGAACAAATTACATACCAAATTACATGCCATATAGTAGTAAGAATATGTATTATGAAAAACAAGGAGCAATGTACATAGAAGCTATATATTGTACGAGTAGTATATATACCAGTAATTAACCATAATTAACTAATCAAAATAACGCTCGATTCTTATGCAAGTGTGGATGAAAGTTTTTTTTTCTGGGAACTGAGCAGATCCGGATCGTTTCCAAATCGATGCGAAAGTGCAGGGAAGAGGGAAATAATTATATGGTTAATTACATACAATAAAAAAATGTTTCGTTTTATTAAATTTACAATCACAAGATTTTGTTGGTTTGTTTTGCTTCGAAGATACTTTTGTTACTGTATTCCTAATGGTGCCGCCTGTTGTTTGCAAAGCCCAGTAGCTGCTGCGTGCATTAAAATTTGACTAATTAAATGGCAAAAATAGTACTAGGAGAGGCGGACACATGCATATGAATTATGTTATGTAGTTACGAGTACACAGAGCATACTTATTTATTGAACGTTTACTTAGAGTGTAGGTAGTAGAGTCGAATTGTGTTAGGTATTTGGAGGGGTGGGGGAGGAGCAGGGGCCATTGCCAGGGGCCTTTAAAACGAGTCTGCTGATGCTGATCTGTACTTCTGAACTTTTCGTCCTAACAAATAATTACTATAATTACTATGCTGTTTGCTGAAATTGTTTTACTTAATCATAGAACACTTTCTGTCGGCTCGTTCTCCGTGTGTGTGTGTGTTTGTTTTGCTTTTCATGTTCATAATTATGTTTGCAAATATTATTTTATAATATAGATTGTGTAATTATCCACGTTGCGTTGTTGTTTTTGTTGTTGTAGTTGTTACATTAGCACTGACAGTTGTCTGGGTTTCCAGGACGACTATTTTGAGAATTCAAGATGATCTGATCGGGAAAATCGTTGATAACTTCAGCCTGAAAAGATAAATTGGTTAAGTCTCCGTTGTACATCGGCAATTAGCAGAGCGTGTGCACTCACCTCTGCCTCTTGCTCCAGCGCATTCTTGGCAATAGTCTGAAACGCCATCTCCACATTGATGCCCTCCTTGGCTGACGTTTCATAGTAGGGTATATCGTTTTTGGACTGACACCATTGCTGTGCCCGGCGCGTGGACACTTGGCGGTTATCCAGGTCCACCTTGTTGCCTAGCACAACGAAGGGGAAATGCTCGGGATCACGTGGACTGGCCTGTATTAAGAACTCGTCACGCCAGGAGTCGAGATTCTTGAATGAGTTTGGCGCCGTCACATCGTAGACGAGCGCACAGCAGTCAGCGCCGCGATAGAAGGCCACGCCGAGTGACTGGAAGCGTTCCTGGCCAGCAGTATCCCAAATCTGCAAATGAATCGCATGGATTTAATCCCACATGAAGGATGCTTCTTTCTATTAGCCTGCTTACCTGCATTGTGACCACACGGTCGTTGACAACCACCTCTTTCGTGCAGAAGTCGGCGCCGATCGTTGCTTTGTATTGGTTGGAGAAGCGTTTGTTCACATACTGATTCATGAGCGAGGTCTTTCCCACACTACTGTCACCCAGTATGATGACTTTCAGCAAAGATTTCTTACGGGCGGCCATTTCAATGTATTCTCTGTTGTCGGTTGGCTTTCACTGCCTCTCTTAAGCTTTGGCAATTGCTGTAAAATAAACAAGTCAAGGGTATCGATTCGACGTTAAAAATAAACAATGCATTTCTTGTAATTCGATTACGGGCGGGCGGAATGAGTGGTTTAGCTTTAGCCCAGCAACAGCTGGGTTGGCGTCCCATCAATGGACCTGTTCGGCAACGCAGACAACATGACAAACCACTGATAGGAGCAATGGAGCGTTGGGTTGTGCTGTTGATAAACCAGCGGCCAGGATGACTCATGGTGGTCAGGCAACAACATGAGTGATCGTTGAGCTGTGATACCGCGTGTTTTAGGGCAAGGGGACAAGCGGGCACCCGCATCAGAGCGTACAAATTTGATCTGGTTTATTAGCTGGCAAGAGTGCAGTGCACAACGGTGAAAGTGTGACGCCAGAGCAAACAAAGAGCAGCCATGACGAGGCCACTGCGTAATCACAGTAGGAACACTATTCTCGAGAAGGGAAAACGCCCATTCCCATACTCCCAGTAACCCAGGAGGGGGAGTAACTATTAAGCAATCGAAAAATAATGCAAAATGGAATCATTTCGGTCAGTGTCAGTGGAGATACCACATAAAACCCCACCCGCCCGATGGACCCCACGAATTACTTGTTTTTGTCTACCACTACCAGCGTTCCAACTGCCGTTGTGTGCCTATGTGTGTGCCTTTGTGTGTACATTCGTGTGTATGTTTGATTGGGGGGGCTCCAATGGCATTTTCATGCATTTTTTGCCTGCTGCGTAACACTATTTTACACATGTTTTCGCCTTGTGTTTAATATTTTTCGCACTTTAACTTACATTGAACACAGTTACACAGTCTGGGAGTAACCTTTTTTGTCGTGTTTTGGCTTGAATTGGTCAAATATTTAATTAATTACGCAGCGCAGTGAATTTTGTTGTTGTCTTGTTTTTAGAGCTGGAAAAAACATCGATGTAACATCGATAGTATCGATGTTGCTCAAAAATGTTCAGCATCGATGTTTTTCCCGCAAACATCGATTATCGTCACTTACAACCGTTACAAGGGAAGGGATTATTTTATGCGAATTTGCTTACAGAAATTAATCTATTCTACTTACTTTAATAGATAATAATTTGTGGTGTTGGCGTGGATCGTGGTAGCGCCATGGACAAGTTTGTAAAAAGCAAGTATAATGAAATACAGTTAATTTTGTACAATGTGCACACATATGTATGCGAATAAATTTGTATACATGCATATATGTACATATAGTGTTTTCTCACTTGTTTGCCCGCATACTTGTTTACACGTGTATGTATTTAAATGTGTAAAAAATTATCAAATTAACTATTTTAAAATAATTCCTTTAAAACAGTAACGGCAACTGTATTGGACGAGGTTGGAAATAACGAGGAGGACATCATATATCGGGCCAAGCGGACCAAAAAGGACCTCGCTAAAACCTAAAATAGTTAACATTTTACTGTCAATCAACAAAAACAGCTTCCTATCAGATCTCAATTATGAATTTAAGCCGCAAACAAATTTTTGTATTTTATATGTCGATATCGATTACATGTCATCGATCATTTAAAACATCTCGGTGGTGGCAAACAGTCGATGTTTTTCCGTCTTGTTGAGCACTTTTAGTGTTTTTGTTTTGTTGCGCCGCAAGGTGTGTGAGCGTATGACGTCACAAAATACAGTGCGTTTCAAGAAAAATCCCACCTCACCTTTTAACTCACCGTGCGGGATTTTAGTTCTTTCGCGCAAACATGGTACATATTGATTCAGTCGGGCCTTTATGGTTAGGTCCGTTTCAAGGCCCTTAAAATGTCAGCCAGCAATTAGAATTTTTCGTTTCATTTCAGTCAGCTTTTGTCAGAGAGCAATTATAATATTTCGTATCATATCAGTCAGCTTTTGTCAGTGAGCAATTATAATATTTCGTTTCGTATCAGTCAGCTTTTGTCAGTGAGCAATTATAATAGTTCGTTTCATATCAGTCAGCTTTTGTCAGCGAGCATACATTTTTGAGTGTTGCACGTACACACATACATGCTTGCTGTCCGTCGGCTCATGTCACGCTCATGTCATTCCCAGAGCCGAACGCGATCGGCCCCAGAGCCGAAGACCTGGGAACGTACGCTGAAACCTGAAAACGCCACTTTCGTTGTATGAATTGGCACATCTATATCAGAGGTCGGCAGCGTCGTATGTCAGCGAGCAATTAAAGTATTTTCGGGCTAGCGCAGTCGGCACACGTACAGCGTAAAGACTTCGTGTGGATTTCGTTCATATCTGCCTGATGACGTACCAGCAGAGAAAATTCTGCGTCTTGCTGACGTCGCGGCAGAGAAACATGCTTCGGCCTGTGCACAAACGGCTTCATATTCTGCCCGCTTGCCTCAGCGGCAGAGAAGCATTCGTGTGCCCCATGCACAATTCTTCGGCTTTCGCAGCTGCAGAGACGTAAGTAACGTATTTGACTTCGTGTCTGTTGATTCCTGCACACAAACGCACCAAAGTTTGAGTCTGTATGCCGACCCACATCTATATACTGTATGGTTAGTGTTTAAGTTCATAAGAAGGTATATTTCAGTATATTTCTGAGGGACAGGCGGGTATATTTTACTGATAAATTCGCGGCCACACTGTTAATTGTCCAGCAATCCTTTGTATTTTATTAAAATTATAACTGAAAAACCTTTAAAAGAAACCGCCCAAGTCGTGCCAACCACGGTCTCTTCTCTTGCGACAACAGTGGGCAAAACAATTGAAGATGGCAACGCTACCGCCCCGTAAGAGTCAGACGCCAACACGGATCTGCATTTCCAAGCAGCATTTGACTCCGCTTCAAACATTGCTTCAAATGGGATTTCCACGGCATAGAGCGTAGGTTTCCATAGCTATCCAGTGGCAGCAAACTAAACTCCCATGCCTTCACCGGAGGCTGGGGGATGTGTACCCCAAACAACAGCGGCAAGCAGGA